AACTTTTCTGTGAAGAGCAACTATCTGCTGAATAAATAGTCTATAAAGAGAGAGCGGCCAACTGGTCACGTGTCAACGTCTTCTGATTGGCTGATGAGTCTATTACTTCCACGAGTTCTTTGACTGATTGACAATTATGGCTGTTTTCCAAAATACACGAGCAGTACTAAAATCGATAGTTCATACACTAAACATTTTCAGTGCTGTTATTTTCAGTGAAGTAAATTTTGGAACACAGCCGTACTCGCTAGCCAATAAAAGAATTCGCTCATATAGAACACAAATAGAATGACGTTGGTTACGACCTGAGTAAAGTTTTAACATAACTTAAAAAGAAAGATTTGTAATTAATATTAATTAATTAATATTAATTAAAATGTTTTCTTTGAATTAATTAATATAAAACAAAAGCATGTTTTCATTATTTAGTACCAAATAATTAAACATCACAGCAAGCTAATGCAATACAACGAGTTATTTTAATTAAAATAATTTGGAATATTAATTTATCAAGTATATTCTTTACATTAAGGATTATTTCGATTAATTCTAAGTAAACTAATTTTTCTTAGTTGATTATCGATTAGTTAATCAGAATTAGTCGCAATGACCCTACAAAATTAGTAAGTGAACGTAGAAAAAACTACTTTAATTTTTATTCCGCTTGCTTGAACACAGTAAATATATCAATTTTGTTTGTGAAAGATTATATTTTATTTTGTGCGATATTATATTTTATTTTGTGCAATAGTAATGCTAATAAAAGTAATTGTACTTATGAATCTTATATTTATACATAAAGCAATGTTTATAAGTTATATTAATTGTTTCCGTTTTGCGATAGTCCGTAACTTAGTTATTCCTGAGGGAAAAAAACATGATTGTTCCAAGATTAATCAAATTAAAAATTAGAAATGCGGGACAGTTGGTGTTAAATTATATTACTTTGATGAAATGCCAAATGTCTTTGATGAAGGATGGAGAAATTTGGAAACTATATGCTCAAAAAGATTGGTGGAAAAGCATGATTTTGATCTTGCAATATTGCTCTGCGTTTAGATGTCAATCATTATTCATCCGTGCTAAGAAGCAGTCGCGCATTTCAGCCATTTTCAATCTTCCTTCATTAATGTCTCTAGATTTTATGACATCATTGTTTGAAAAATGATAAGGGACCTCTTGCTCAATTTGATGTGTTCCACCTCGCGACTCCATAGCGAGTTGTCGGACACCCTGTACCATTCGTTCAATCGACCAAACGCTTTGCTTGAACGAATTCTGTTCGTTTCAAGCAAGATCTCATTACCTCAAACGCATATTTTTTTTCTCAGTCGAGAGGGACGGTGAGCTTTTCACGCGCGCACGCTCGAATAAACAAATTACGAAATGCCTCTGCCCTCCGTCCGCCTCCTATCCCGGCGAAATCGGTGCGTGTATGTCTGAATTGCAAAAGGTCACATTACCTATTTATGATATTCGGGCCTCGTGGAGCAATTGACCGTCGCGAGCGATATCGATGTAAATTCGTGAGGTTGTGAAATCGTAAAAGATATCGCTCGCTCGCTCGCGTCTTCGGGCGCCAGCGCAATGCTGCCGGACACGCGCGACCTACATTAATCAATCTCCGATTATTATCACGAGACGAGTTTAATTCTAACGTTTCCGACGAAGGTCGCTGTATCATGAGAACAGCGGACAACGACGGCGGCGACGGCGGCGGTGGCGGCCTTGACCGCCTCGTTGAATGTCGCGTAATAGATTTTACGCGTTGCACGTTGTGTAGCGAGGAAATGATAATTCGAGAGATATTAACGGTACGCGAGTTGTGTGTGCGAGTTGCAGCGCGCCGGCGAGCTACTCGCTCGAAAGCGCGCGACTTTCGACACGAAGCGACGTTTATTTCTACGAATTGCAACTCGTCCGTTGTCACGCGTACACGATAAATTCTCATTACGAGACCTCTGCCTCTCCCCCCAAACTCTGCCCTCTCTCATTCTCTTTCTCTCTCTCGCTGTTTCTCCTTAATGCACGGCGCAGCATAGGTATGGAGTGTCGCGCAAATCTCGCGCGTAATCTCTCGAAGATGAGATTAATATTTCCCTAGCCGTAAGTAAATCCGCATATATTTCGCGTAAAGTGGCAGTGCGACTCCCTCCCTCTCTCTCTCTCTCTCTCTCTCTCTATCTCTCCCCTCTCTCTCTCTCTCTCTCTCTCTCTACACAACAGTATTAAACCCGCCTTCTTTCAGACCCTCCACGACCCAGGCGCGCTTTTCCTCACACACTCACGCACAATTTTGTTGTAATAAGTCTGCGGGCGCGAAAGCAGAAAAGAATAATGACCGACAAATTGAATTCCTATCGATCGCCGAGCGCGACCCAGCGCCGGTCCGTTACCATCCACGCTTTCTCACGACAACGGTGACGAGACAATTAAACTCGTTTGACAATGACGACGACGACGACGACGATGACGATGACAACGACGACGACGATGATGATGATGACCACGACGACGACGACGACGACGAGGAGGAGGAGGATGATGTCCGAGAAGTGCGGCGCGCTCCGGCGCCGCGGAGCGTTAATCACTACGGATCGAAGGGTCGCCGACGAGTACGTACCTGGTGGGCTCGCGTCGACGGATTTACCGGCGGCCGTTGGCCCCTGTGTGCCGTGGCAGTCGTCGACGCCGGTAGCGCGATATACGACGGAACGAGCCGCTGTATCCCGAGCGGAACGTGACTCGACTCACTGCTCCTCGGCTTCGCTTTCGTCGAGCAGCAGCCAGCGCGCAGCAGCCGGCAGCACCTCCGTCGTCGCCAGTATCTTCTTGACCGCCATCGTCGTCGTCGTCGTCGTCGTTGTCATCATCGTCGTCGTCGCCGTCGTCGTCGTCGTCGTCGTCGTCGTCATCGTCGTCGCCTTCCTCCTGCTCCTCCTCCTCGTCGTCGTTGCTCCTGTCACGCGCACTCTACTATTCACCACCAGCGGGCACGAGCATGCGGCCATCGCGCGGCGGCGCGCAGTCAACGAACCCGCATTTCTTTTCGGCCTGAACTTTTGTTTTCCCTTTTTTCCCCTCTTTCTCCTGTTCAAAAGAGAGAGAAACGCGCGCGCGAGAGAGAAAGAGAGAGAGAGAGAGAGAGAGAAGGCGCGGTTGCGCCGCGTATCGTATCGCTTATATCCGCGGATCTCTTTGCCGGCACACGCGGATCCCTCGCGCTGCTCGCGCACGTACACAGATATATATATATATATATATATATATATATATATAACATATATATATATATATAACATATATATATATGTATACACATATGTGTATATAAGGTGTATCCCGGTGGCCGCTTTATACATCAGGAACAGAGTCGAGCCTCTCCCGGTGTCACTGGCTGCTGTTGCTGCTTCTTCTTCTTCCTCCACTTTCCGCTCCTTCTTTTCCTCCAACTCCTGCTCCTCCTACTCCTCCTGCTCTTCTGCGCGCTGTCGTCTCTATCGCGCGCTCGCGTATCCGCGCATACTCGCGCACCTGCAAGGCTCTAAACGCCCGCTCGCGCGCATATGCGACGTCCCTTGAGATGTGTGTGTGTGTGTGTGTGTATACGTTGTATGTATATATGCGCTCATGTGTATGTATGTATGTGTGCGCTAAAGCGCCGAGTACACACGAGCCGGCGCACGCGCGCGTTTCACGTTTCTCCTCGCTTTCGCACGTGCATATACGTACGTTGCAGCCGAGGAAGAGAGAAAGAGAGAGGATGAAGGAGAAGGAGAGAAGCACGTTCTCCCTCCTCGTTGCTCTCACGACGACGACGACGGCGGTGGCGGCGGCGGCGGCGCGCAATCGTTCACTGACCCGCTCTCACCGACACGAGTTCTCGCGACGCACACATACATACACACATACACACACAGGCGGCCACGACCGATTCGATTTTCCGATGCAATTTTTCCCGTCGGCAGAAACGAGAGCGGCGAGCTCGGGAGGCGGTGCACTCGGTCTCCTCGTCTCGTTGCCGTCGAGATGCGCTCTTCGCGTTCGTTCTGCTTTGCTCTGTTCTGTGCCGTTCTCGAGAACAGCGAGACATTTCCGTTTCGAATAACGAGAAACGAAGCGATGTGACCAATGGTACATCTCTCTCCTGTCGATTACGAGTTCCTCTTTTCCCTGTTCCTTCTGCCCCTCGTGCAATACCATTTTCGGAACGGTCGCAGAATTCACACAGGTGTGTGTGTGTGTGTGTGTATGTATGTGTACGTTGTGTGGACGCGCAGCGTCGGGAATGTCTTTTGGTTAGGCGGCGGCGAGGATGAAACGCGAGAGACGTTTTCTGGGCAACGATGCGCACTCGCTCGCGACGACGACGATGACAATTCGCGCGCAAGTTATCACCGCGCGCGGTGCAGGAGGCAGCGCAGTGGCGACGGCGACGACGACGACGGCGCCGTAATAACTTGCACCTGTCGCAAGAGCGTGAAGTTGTCGCCGCATGAAGTCGTCCGGCTCCTAGCTTCCTTCGCTCTCGACTCCTCCTCCTCTTTCATAAACATGCCCGCGTTCCGCCCGCCGTCTAATAGCATATTAGCTCGCGGGATTGTTTCCCCGAGGCCGTTCGTCGTCTCGTTGGATTCGGCCAGTTATTTACCCATCCCCCTCGCGGCTAACGCGAAAACCGGCCACCCTGCCGTGCGACTCAAGTCAATGTAAGTCGCGTTCCACTTGCGAATTCGCTGCGTTTACCGTCTCGACGTCGTCACCGCCGCCCGCCTGCCTGCCTGCCTGCCTTCCTTCCTTCTCTCTTTCTTTCTTCCCTTCCTCCCTGCGTCGGTTATTCCCCATTAATTATTCTCACGGCTCCGTCGCTCGATACCGCTTATACTTTTCCGTAGTCGCTAATTAGCTCGCGTTACTTTCAACATGATTACGCGCGCCCCAACTTCTCTCTCTCTTTCTTCCAATTGGAATCGTTCGCATCGCTCGCTCTGTATATTTACCTTCTACTTCCGACTCCCGTGACGGTGCTCATAGCCGGCGAGCTCTCTTATCACCGATATCTCTCGGCTTCTTCCCGAGGATCGTGTCCCCGCGCATCTCCCGCTCCGCCGCCGATATGTTCTCCTCTCGTCCCGAAAGCACCCGCAATAAACTGGTATATCCCTCACATCGTCGCGCTTCTCCCCAGTCGAGGCACCCCCGTGATCGAGCCCGATAAGATCGCGATTCACGTCGCCGACCGGCCGTGCGGAAATATCGCACGTGAATATACGGATTCTGTGTATGCAAAGTCACACCCCGGGGCCGTTCACCGATATCGTTCTTGGCGTTTTTCTTTTCTTTTTTTTTTTTTTTTCGATCCCGTGATCGCTCACTCGCTCGTTCGCTCGCTCGTTCGCGCTCGACCACACGACACGTTCGCGGCGCGACGGTCGGATGTAGACTGAATCGGTCGCTACTCATGTATCGGTCTGAACGTATCCGCGAGCCTCCTCCCTCCGTCGACCCTTCTCCCTCTCTCCCTCACCCACCCACCCTCTCTCTCTCCCCCCTCCTGCGCCGCCACTCTTTCTCTCGCTTCTTTTACCACTCTCGCGTCGCGGCTATCAGCTCGTGCCAGACCTCAGGCTCGTTTTTACTGACCGAACACGGTCTCCCGATATATCGCGAGATTTACAGGAAAAATCTTACGGCCGGAAAGGAAGGAAAAAGTATACGGGCACTTCGCACGGGAGAAAAAGTGCGCCTTTCGAGACACATCTGTGAATTGTGCGGCTAGGGAAAATCTCTGCGCAATGTTTATAACCCTAGAACCCTTAACATGGATAAATAAATAAATAAATAAATAAGTAAGAAAGTGGAAGTAAATCTATAAAACAAAACATAAGGGAGAGTCAATGGAAAGGAGGGGAGAAAGAATTTTTTAAGAAATTTTTTAACAAGAAAAGAAGGGAAGAGCCATGATTTAAAGGGAGAAACGACATAAAAGGTTTTAGTACAATGGTGAACAGGATAATAGCAAATCATTACAACTTGAAAGAGTCATTAGGTAGAAAGAAAATTATAGGTGCGAAGAGATATGATTGCGGAGCAGAGAAAGAAAATATTAACCATGTATCCTATAGATGTACTCTATAGATATAGCGAGAAATATGATGAAGAAAGCAAATTTATGTTTAGGAAGATAGAAAAGAAAAAAATGAGTTTAGGTGTAGACAAAATAATTAGAAATAGAAATTAGGAAAAATACAATTAAGATAATTTATCTTTTCTTAAGGAAAATAAACGAATATAATAGAATTAAGTAGAGAATATTTTACTTTACAGAAGACTAGAAGAAAAAAACTCATAAGCTGCATAGCCGCAAATATTATCGAGGAAGGTTTGGTGGTATACCCACCAAAATTAGAAAAAAAATAAAACATGGGTAAAATTTCACCAGACCAACTTTTCAAACGTTACTGTTGTTCAAACATATGTTGTTTTGTTTTTCCATTATAACTTTTTTCAACTTCATAGAATCGTAAGAATATTAAGGGCCGGTTTTTCAATAGCAGTTTAAATTTGGATTCAAGTTTAAACTCTATTCTAACAATACGTTTGTTTTGTTTAAACAGAGTTTAAGTTTAAATTTAAACTATCATTGAAAAAAGCCGGCCCTAATAGATTCATATTTCTCTCTCACTCGATGTTTTCTACACTGATTAAAACAAAAGGATTGAATTTCGATTATTTTTTCAGAAGTTATGAGCAAATAAAATGCGCTGGAAAATTTATCCGTGTTTAGAGTTTACGTAACTTTTTGATGTTTGGAGTTCTAGGGTTAAACATACATTTCGAGGGCCTAGGAAAGGTGCCAAAATCCAAAACGCGAGGGATGCTTGTTTGGACAAATGTATGTTTTAACACCCTACGCATGAGGCACTGTCAAGAAGATTTGTTAGGAATTGACAGTACAGCCACCAAGGCAGTCAAAATCACGAGTATAATATCTTGCGGAAAATTGCTCTCAAATTTATAATGGTGTAGCTTATACTTTTAAGGTAAAAGCATCAATCCTCGGACATATACATAATCTTGGGCGTTCTTGTTGATTTAATTCTTAAATATTATAAAAATAGTATTTAAAGTCTCCACGTAGAATATATGTATGTATTCAATATATACATTTTTTATGTTGAAAGTTTAAATATTCGTATTCTTAAAAACTAAAACTTAAAAATTAATTAAAATCTTATTGTTCCTAATTGTTCTTAAAAATAAGAACAATTAGGTTTCGGGCATTAGATACTTTTACTTTCATTGACATTCAATTAAACTAAAAAGAATAAGTAAACTATAATTTCCTTGCATTGCATTTTTTCAAAAAACCTATCATTTGTTGTCCCCTCTGACAGAAATAGGTCGTTAATTGCCGGCAGTGGTAAAAAAATACACAGATATTGCCTCACAGAGTGCGAAGTTTCTTTGGACATACATAATCATTTCTGCGGATTATTACAATAGCGCGGCAACTGAACGCATCCGAGCTGTGAATCGAAGAGGATTAAGTGTAAAGGATATATAATACACCTATACATATGTTATTGCTGCAACACATTAAACGTGAACGTTACGTTCTGAGATACTAATCACCGGTGGAGATTATCGCGCATGCGATAGAGCGGAAAGTAATGTGCGATGTGCATTGCACGTCTTTTTCGCTGAGCAGCAGCGACAAACGGCGGCGGTACGCGACATTCATGAATGACAAAACGGCACAAAGCAGAGAGAGAGAGAGAGAGAGAGAGAGAGAGAGAGAGAGAGAGAGAGAGAGAGAGAGAGAGAGAGAGAGAG